TAATATCTTGGGGATGGGATCCAAAGCTAAACGTGAAATTTATCTTTCATATACACCTATATATATATAGCCCGGAGGTAATTTTATACTGTATTTTAAATAAATTTGTGCATGAAACAAAGTTTGTGTACACTGAACCACCAAAAAGCAAAAGTGTCACTATCTCAGCCACCCAGGTAGACAATCTGTGGTTGCTGGGCATCACCATCATTCCGGACTCGGAATTTACATGCTATTAATAGGAAATCATTATGTTACACTTGTTCATACATAAATACTTAACAGGAAAAAATACGATGTATCATTAATACAGTGAAAAACAATGAGTTCTGGGGAACTAAGCAGCACAGCAGCATCGCCAAAATACCCGCATCAGCTGTTAAACAGCAGCAACAACAAACAGCTGCAGGCTTTCAGCCTCCAACTACGATGCTGTGTTTTGATTAAAAGGCTACTGGACACTGTATTTTATTTTCTTTTTAGGTGAGAAGAAACATCAGAGGCATCTTGAGGGGCCAGAAGTAGGTCCTTTAGTAATGAGGAGGCATTCTGCTAGATGGCTTTGTAAATGTTTCCTCCCAAGTCATCTAACTCATTAACAATGGTTTTTGTCTTAGAAGTCTCTCTCCAACTTTATAAACTGACACAATTTCCTGTTGCGTTATGAATGCATATTGCTCTAATCCTTTAATAAAGTCCATTACACATTTTCATCAAGAGCATTTTTTTAGGGGGGTGGATGAGGGAGCTTGTTTCCATTTATTTTTAGTTTCTTTCCTTTTTATTTATATATGTTTTTTGAGATAGAATCTTGCTCTGCTGCGCAGGCTAGAGTGTAGTGGCAAATCTCAGCTCACTGCAACTTCTGCCTCCCAGGTTTGAGCAATTCTCATGCCTCAGCCTCCTGAGTAGCTGGGATTACAGGCGTGTGCCACTGTGCCTGACTAATTTTTGTGTTTTTAGTAGTGATGGGGTTTCACATGTTGGCCAGGCTGGTCTTGAATTCCTGGCTTCAAATGATCCGCCTACCTTGGCTTCCCAAAGCGCTGGGATTACAGGCATGCACCACCACACCCGGCCTAATTTTTATTCTTTTTTAATTTTTATTTTAGGCCCAGGATTACACATGCAGGTTTGTCACACAGGTAAACTCATGCCACAGGGGTTTGTTGTGCAGATTATTTGGTCACCCAGTTACTAAGCCTAGTACCCAACAGTTATTTTTTTCTGATCCTCTCCCACCTCCCACACTCAAGTAGGCCCCATTGTCTGTTTTGCTGCTCTTTGTGTCCATGTGTTCTCATCATTTAGCTCCCACTTACGAGTGAGAACATGTGGTATTTGGTTCTATTCCTGCATTAGTTTGCTAAGTATCCTTAGATATTAATCGATCGCCTACAGCTCCATCCATGTTACCACAAAGGACATGCTCTCATTCTTTTTTATGGCTGCAGAGTATTCCACAGTATATATGTACCACATTTTCTTTATCCAGTCTTCCACTGATGGGCATTTAGGTTGATTCCATGTCTTTGCTACTGTGAACAGCACTGCAACGAACATATGTGTGTATGTGTCTTTATGACAGAATGACTTCTATTCCTTTTGTTAAATACCCAATTTCAGTAATGGAACCGCTGGGTTGAATGACAATTCTGTTTTTAGCTTTCTGAGGAATCACCACACTGCTTTCCACAACGGTTGAATTAATTTACATTTCCACCAACAGTATATAAGTACTCGCTTTTCTCCATAACCTCACCAGCATCTGCTGTTTCGACTTTTTTTTAACAGCCATTCTGACTGGTGTGAGACATGTCTCATTGTGGTTTTGATTTGCATTTCTCTAATGATCAGTGACATTGTGTTTTTCATATGCTTGTTGGATGCATGCATGTCTTCTTTTGAAAAGTGTCTGTTCGTGTCCTTCACTCACTTTTTAATGAGGTTGTTTTCTTTCTTATAAATTTAAGTTCATTATAGATGCGGGATATTGTAACTTTGTGAGATGCATAGTTTGTATGTATTTCCTTCCACTCTGTAGGTTGTCCGTTTACTCTGCTGACAGTTTCTTTTGATATGCAGAATGTGTGCTCTTTCTATGGGCATTTCTTCCTCGGTGTTAACGTCATCTTCATCATCACTTGATTCAGAACCATTTCAGCTATTTCATCATTGGTCAATAAATGAAAAACTGAAGCTTCATTATTTGGTAATAAAAATATTACCTTGATATCCACTTCTTTCAGTTTACTGACAGACTCGAAAGATGTATTTTTTGCATATAAAAGGAGGTGAGATATCATTTTTTTCTCACTTTAATATATGGAATCCATCCCAAGTCACTACCTTGTTCTTCTTCTTCATCATCATCATCACCACCACCACCATTGAATAGTCACAGGCCAAAGGTTATGCCAAGCATGCACAACTGCGTCTTACGTCACTGATGGCCAAGTCCTGGCAACAGCATATGAGACATCCTTCATGCTAAATGCCTTCTGCAAACCTCCCACACCCACACCTCTGTTCACTGCTGCTAGCATGATGTTCAAGAAAGTGTTTTTATATTTACCCTTCACTGATATAAGGATATCCTGGTCACACGGCTGAATTAATGAAGTCACATTTGGGTGAAAGTACATGGCATAAACACTGTTTTTTATGAGAATTTCGGTTGCAGTATAAGGAGAACAGTTGTCAATGGATAACAAAATCTTTCAGTCTTCTTTCAGTCCAGCTTCCCTGCAATAAGCATAAGGCACTGGTACAAAACATTTATGAAACCAATCAGAAAAGGTATCCCGAGTGATCCAGGCCTTTTGATTAGCATAATGATGCACTGGTAAGACATTCACTTCTTGCAAACAGGAAGGATGCAAGCTTTTGCCTCCTACAGATTTATACCTATACGTGCCTACTGCATTAACACATCCCGTTACAGTTTTTCTGCCCTTGGCATCCTTAAATCCTGCAGAGGCTGTCTCAACAGCTGTAGTGTCTTTCTGGGGCAATCATGCCAAAACAGTGGTATTTCCTCAGCATTATACCTGTTCTGATGTTGAATTTTCATCATCACTATCCCAGGCGAACTCATCAATGAAGTTCTCCACTGCTTCATGATCGGCAGATGCTTTATCACCAGCAATCTTTAAAAAGTGAATGCTATGTTTTTTCTTAAATTTCTGTAACCAGCCTGTTGAATTTTCACGGTTCCCTTCAGTTTTCAGTTCATCATGGTAGATGCTCATTTCATGACGAGCATACTAGCAAGTGGCATGTGTTCCCTGCGAGTCTGACAGATCCATTCTTTCAATTCATTATCAAGATCTTCATTTTCAGCTATAGGTGGTGTTTTTCTATTTGTCAGTAACTTTTGTTCATCACTTTCAGCACAGAACTTCAACAGTTTCTCCTTCTGTTTCTTCAGGTCATATATGGTGGTCATACCAACACCACACTTTTCTGTAAGACATTTCGCACTTACACCATTGTCCAGTTTCTCTAACAGCTTGACTTTCTGTGCTATAAAAATAAACACTTCCCCTTTAACAAACTGCTGTCTTTCTAGGGGTATCTGCAGGCCTCTTTGACATTTTCAACATTATCTTTAAGCTACTGAGCAAAAAATCAGCAAACAAACAAAAAATATATAATGAGTAATACAGGTAGGTCTTGACCCCATGTGGGGTATAGTGTGGAATCTGTCATTAGCACATCTGACCTGCATACATGCCATTTTATTACCCTTTGTAGGCATGCTTATGTGGGGAAAATCTGGGCATGTGTGGAAAAGATATATTGCAGCTAAAGGGGGTACAAGGGTCTTTTATACCTTGGGAACACTGAATAAACAAGGTGTGGTGCACCTGCATTTTGAATGTGACCCATCGCATAAGGTCAGCTGAATTTTCAACTTGGGTCATACTGGTGCTGGTAACGTTTCATATTGTGGAGCGTTTTGGGTTTTGAATTTTTGGAATGGGGATACTCAAAGATGACATTCTTGTTTGTTTTTTTAGGTGTGGTAAAGATATTGTGGTTATGTAGAAGAATGGTCTTTTTCTTGGGAGATACGCACTGAAGTGTTTAGAATAAAATGCATGATATAACTTACTTTCAGGTGGTTTGGCACATCCACACCCACATACAGAAATTGTCTCGTGCTGCAAAACAATATTTTGGTCAACGACAGACCACATATACAAAGGTTGTCCCATAAGGTTATAATGGAGCTGAAAAATTCCTATCTCCTAATGACACCACAGCCCTCATAACATACAGTGACACATTACTCACGCTTGTGGTGATGCTGTTTTACACAAACCTATTGCACTGCTAGTCATTTAAAAGTATAGCACATACAATTATGCACAGTACACTATACTTGATGTCCTTCTACTTATTAAAAAAAAAGTTAACTATCAAACAGCCTCTGGCAGGTCTTTCAAGGAGGTATTATGAAGAAGGCATTGGTACCAAAGGAGATGACAGCTCCCTGCATGTTACTGCCCCCGAGGACCTTCCAGTGGGGCAAGACGTGGATGTAGAAGACAATGATATTAACAATCCTGCCCATGTATAGGCCTAGAATGATGTCTTAGTTTTTAACAAAAAAGCTTAAAAAGAAAAAATAAGTGAACAGAATAGCATTATGGAATAAAGATATAAAGAAAGAAAATATTTTTGTATGGCTGTAAGTGTGTGTTTCAAGCTAAGTGTTAATACAAAAAAAGTTTTAAAAATGTTAATTGAAAAGTATAAAAAGTAAAAAAGTTACAGTACACTCAGGTTAATTTACTACTGAAGAAAAATTTTTTTATAAATGTGTAGCCTAAGTGTACAGTGTTTATAAAGTCTACAGTAGTGTCCTAGGCCTGCAAATTCACTTACCACTCACTGACTGACTCATCCAGAGCAACTTCTAGTCCTGTAAGCTCCATTCATGATACGTGCCTTCTCTCAGTGAACCATTATTTATTCTTCATATCATATTTTTTTAGATTTGAATAATTTATTCTAACAAAAGTATAAAGTATGGAAAATTAGTGTATTTGAATCATTTCAGAGAGGATAGCAAGTTTCACACTAGAAGATTTCAGATTTTAGCACCTTTGAAAAGAAATATTTAGAGTGACAAGTGGCAACGCAGGCTGCAGGTGACCTACAGGGATACTCATCTGAGTTTAGTGCACAGTTCATGTAACAGTGCAGTCATTTGTTTTTTTCCTCTACATTTTGAGAGTGCCACAAAACAGAATTAAAAAGAACGAGAAAAGAGTTCACTGAATTCATAGCTGGTGTTAGAAGATGAACTACCGGAGGAAGGTCACAGGCTGGACTAGGAGGTCCAATACCCAGTTCAAAGGCACTGACGATGCAGTACATGGTTTTATTCTCCCATCGCATGGTGCAGCTCCTGTCAGCAGAGCTGTCCCAGAAGCAGGAACTTGCCGTGTGTAATCCAGCTGCGTTCTTTTGCATAATTACACAGGTCACAACGTATTTCAGTGGTTTTCCCAGCTTGGTGAGTTGGCTTGAAGTTTGTTCTACTACATTTGTGGTCCACTGATTCACTTTGCTGTGTTGATAAGCGTTACCACCAATTGCGCTTTCTATAGCCTCTTTTACAATCTGCTCAACTCATCAACGACAAAAGCAGTCTCCTCAGCAGCCTGGTAGTCTTCCATCTTTCCTCCGGAGTGTTGCCCCTACCTCCTTTTTGCCATATTTTGACCTATCTTTTCTATATTTAGATACACAAATAGTTACTGTTGTGCTATAACTACCTTCAGTATTTAGTAGAGTAACATGCTGTATAGGCTTGCAGACTAGAAGCAAAAGGCTATAACCATATAGCCTATGTGTGTAGTAGGCTATACCATCTAGGTTTGTGTACGTACACTCTATGATTTTGCACAACAAAATCGCCTAACGACACACTTCTCAGAACATATTCCCATGGTTAAGCAACATAAGACTGTGTACCTATATGAGGGCATGGAGTTGGGAAAATGTTTACAGGAAATCCATTTATGGGAAAATTTATGTGTAAACTCTACATTTTATTTATTTTTTTATGTTGCACAATCTAATGAGTAATCCTAAGTCCTGTAGACTAAAGACAATTATAAATCTCAAATAAAATGATATACTTCCAACATGTTTTGTCAATATTTGAAGAAAAGTCAAACCACTTGAAGGCTTTTAAAATTAACATTAAGTTCTTGTCTATCTAAATAGGCTTTGAAAGACGAGAATGGACAGAAGAATTTCGTTTGGTCCAGTAAAGATTATAGGCGAAGAGTTTATCAGCCTTTGTGTTCCACAGATGAAGGTCAGCAGGAAAACAGAAGTCTTACACCTCCTGGGCCTGCAAAGCATATCTCTGCACAAGAATGAAGAAAGTCTGTTTTAAAGAAAGTCTGCGTCTTTCTTTAAAAGCTGAATTCAAAGTATTCTACTTTATCTGGGCTTCAATTGCATTTTCAAAGCCTGCTTCCATCAAATATAATTCTTAGTGTCACACAACAAAAACATTTAGTCACTGTTAGTATTGAGACAAGCCCTAAAACTATAGATAACAATTTCAGTTCATTCTCAGGGTATCCTTAATAAATATGTAAATCACATTTCCCAATGCTCCATGTCTAATTATTTTTATTTCTTGCCTTTGAAACTATTATGCCATTCGTCCCTAGTTATCCACAATAACAAATGATCTTCCGAACTGAGTCAAGAAATCTGCCCAGCCAGTCAACATCCATAAAACCAAAAGTTTAAAAGAAGGTCTTACCACACAGGTTAGGTGTCTACCCACACACACACACACTCCTTTTACATGTTCATCTGAAGAAAAAGTGATATGGGAAGATATAACAAAACCAAAAGAGGACTGAAAAATGCAGTAAGTTGAAATTTGTAGTAGCACTAAGCCTATCCATTCACAAACAATATATCACAAACAATATAGAACACCTATAATATCTAGCCTGTGACTCTTACTTTTTTATTATTTATAGCACTAGGTTTGAAAACATATATATCAAAGAGGAAACAAAGAAAAAGAAAAATTTTATTCAATTCTAAGCTTATCTTTAGTTGCAAAGAGTCTACAAAGATGGAAAGAAATGCTGCTGGCAGGAAGGCCTCGAGAAACAACCATAAAACCTTATGTGTCACATTTTTTATTGTTGTTGTTGTTATTGTTGAGATGGAGTCTCGTTCTGTCACCCAGGCTGGAGTGCAGAGGCGCAATATCGGTTCACTGCAAGCTCTGCCCTGCGGGTTTACGCCATTCTCCTGCCTCAGCCTCCCGAGTAGCTGGGACTACAGGCGCCCATCACCATGCCTGGTTAATTTTGTTTTGTATGTTTAGTAGAGACAGGGTTTCACCATGTTAGCCAGGATGGTCTCGATCTCCTGACCTTGTGATCCTCCTGCCTGGGCCTCCCAAAGTGCTGGGATGACAGGTGTGAGCCACCGCGCCTGGCTTGTGTCACATTTGTCCCCAAAGAACCATGGCAACATTAAAGAAAGACATCAACACCTCGGGAAATGTCTGAAACACAGACACTAAATTCTTATTCAAATATAGATCAAAATAAAGGCTGTAGGAACACTGTATGCAAATATACTGGGGTAAGATGAGTGTGATATCTATGGATGGATAGTGTACATCTGTCTCTTTGCAGGAAAAGAGGCTCCAGGTTGCAAAATACTGAAGGCCTCGACTTCTGCATTTGTTGGTGTGCTTCATCTACCCCTAAAACAGGGACTGACAATATTCAAAACATATAGCTTCAGACTCTGTAATACATAGTGAATTCTGCTATGAACCCAAGGCTTCCCATTTGTCTCACTAAGGGATAGTAGGAACTTTCTGAGAAGTTACCATCTGCTTAATGAGTTGAATTGAATATAATGAACAAACAATAATCAGAAGACCACAACTGCTAAATACCAAATAAGAGAAATAAAGCAAGACAGTGAAAACAGGAGCTGACTGGGATAATTTAGCAAAGTTTCATGGAGATGCTAGGACCTGAGCATGGGCCTAAGGGTAAGGGAAATATTCTAGCAGTTTCATGGTAAAATCGCATGACTAATGGTCAGCACAAAAGAACATAGGTTCTCTGTGCAATGACTATCAAACAAGAAGGCCTGGACTTAACACTTACTGCCATGTATGGCCTACAGCCAGCATCTCTTGTCTTGGCAATAGAGTCCACAAGCTGTCCACTGATGCCGAAGTCACAGAGTTTAATATTTCCACTTCTGTCCAGAAGAATATTGGAAGGTTTGATATCTGCAAGACATAGATATCATTCAGTATACAATTAGCTTCTTCCTAGGTTACATAAGGCCTCACTTTAAGCAAAAATATTGAAAAACCTTAGACAACGTCAGTGGTCAAGTCCTTAAATTCAGATATATAAGAAGTAAAGCATCTTCATTTATCACATACAATAATTACTCATGTTTTAAACAAGTAGCTTTAATAACTATAATTGTGTAAATGTAACAGCAAAAGTCATTTCACAAACATCTTATTAATCTATAAGATATAGACAGGGATTGATTTTTCTCTTAACATCTTCATATTTGTAAAACACAGAAAAAACAATGGTTTTCTTCTATTGAAAATGAGAAAGGAAAACAATTTTCTGAATGCCAGTGCTTAAAAACTGAATATCAAAAAAAAATTTCAGAAGAAATTTAGGCATTAAATTGTTTTCAAAAGGCTTACAAATTCATTTATTTAGTTCAGATTCATTGCATAACAGTCAAAATATAAGGAATGTCAAATCCCTTTCTCACTGACAATCAAGTCACTACCAGTATGTGCCAACTAATTCTCTATCCATAGCTCAGTCCTTCATCCACGTCCTTGTCACTACCCTGGCTCAATGAATAAAAAATAAGGTTTTAAAATATAGGATGCAGAAAACATCTAAATGTAACTCAGAAGGTGATCCACAAAAAAATTCAGTAAAGATCTCTTACCATGATTGAAACAGCTGTGGGCCTATCAAAAATCCATTCCTAACCATCCATACTTTCTTTTTTTTTCGAGACAGTCTCACTCTTTTTTACCCAGGCTGGAGCGCAGTGGCGCAATCCCCACTCACTGCAACCTTCGCCTCCCAAGTTCTATCAATTCTCCTATTTCAGCCTCCTGAGTAGCTGGGATTACAGGTATGCGCCACCAGATCTGGCTAATTTTTGTATTTTTAGTAGAGATGAGGTTTCACCATGTTGGCTAGGCTGGTCTCAAACTTCTGACCTCAAGTCATCCAGTTGCCTTGGTCTCCAAAGTGCTGGGATTACAGGTGTGAGCCACCACGCCCAGCCCCATCCATATCTTCTAACAGAACCTGTGTTTTATTGAGGTATCTCTTCTTATCAACAGCCACACCTCCAAATCCTGGCTGTTGGCTGGTGTAAGTTTTATAAGGGTAGTCTCATGCTTCTTGATAGTAGCTGGTTTAAGGGCATGAGGCACTTCTAGTGAATGAGCCAAGAAAAGGTATTAGAGATGTGGGAAAAGTTTCCACATTCCCCACAGAGCTGCACAGCATGAGAGCACCTCTTCTTCAAGAGGCAGTCACATCTAGACATGACAGTGGGAACTGCTCTAGTTGTTACTACCCTGAGGACAGAGTTAACACATGAAGGAGGACAGAAGCAAAAGGAGCAAGCATGACCCCTAGTCATATTGTGCTTTCAGCCACCCCATCTTTGGATTTATTATGACAGATAATGAATTTCCTTGAAGCTTAACGAGAGTTATCAGAATTTTCTATTACTTGTAATCAAAAGCACTGACTCCAACAAAAAAGCTAACTGATCCTAACTGATAAAAGATAGCTATAAACTCATCACTTTATTTAGTAAGAGAAAAACAAAAGTTACTTCTGAAGATTTTTTATTTTATTCAACTACTTCCCAGGCAGTACCTTGGTGCTTTACTGCGGTCACTAAGTATCCCTAAGGTAACTAACAAATGTCTCAAAGGTGCTACTCTCACAATTATAAAACACAGCTAACGAAGAAGGGAAAAAAATCAAGACAAGAAGAACAACTACAAGAGAAACAAAGAATTTTGTCTAGGGACCTAACTCTACATAATTTTAGGCCAAAAGAAAAAATGATATTATTTCTAACAAGCATTAAGTCAAACAAAATTAAATAAAATATACTGATGTTCAAGGTTCACTAATTTCACTGGTCTAGTGTCAACCACAAACAAAATAACTTAAAAAAATGGCCCAATTACTAATGTCTTTAACCACCAGAAATTGTCTCCCAGAATTAGAAATTTTTCACTTCTCTTGATTTTGACCTTTTACTTTTCTTCCTATTTACTGTCAGGCTAAATCACACACTGCCGCGTACTGTCTTAGGTTTTTCCATAACAAATTTGCTGAGGGGTAGTGACCCAGTGTGTTTCCTCAAAGCCAGCACCTCACTACCCTGAGTCTAGCACGGTAATAAGAAAAGCAAGCATTTCATCTATTTGCTGGATTAAATTCGGGATTCCCACAGGGTTACTACTTTTCTAGGTTTGGCCTTCAACTACATCAAATGTTTCATTTGAATATGTATCTAATAAGGGCAAGATCACTGTTTACACAAATACAACATGCTTTAGAGAAATTTCAACTTATAATACCAATTAAAAGATTTCTCT